ATTATAGTTCCATATTATCTATATAAGATTTCATAAGAAATTAAGATTGGGTAAAATTTTCCTTAACTCGGTGATATCAGGAAATTTGTATTAAGTATAATTATCTCTACTTTTAGTTAGTTAACTAATTGAGATTAATTATAGCTATGTTAAAACCTGTGTACTAGACTTTTGTATGAAAACTGGGTCACTGCCCACATTGGTTTTTAAGATTAATAGGTGTATGTACTATGGCTATTTAAATAATTAATTTTTATCTTTAAGGTTTATGAGAGTCTGCAATTCTTATGTTATTTTGTTGTGATTAATGCTTCCGAGGGATTACTTTGTTACCGGAATTATGAACAAAATATGATTCAGGTCGTTTAATAATTTGGGTTATTAGATTTTATCTGTCAATTTAAAGTCTAGAATGGATTTACATTATTTTTAGACTTAGGGGGATTCAACAATTTTTTATAAGTAAAGCCAAGACCCGTGAATCAGCAATTGATATGAGTCAAATCTCACTCAACATTGGGGACATTTTGGATCTGTTTCCCACTGCCTAGTAATAGAGTTGTAATAGAATTGTATCAATTCTTAGTCTGGTAATAATTCTATCTATTATACGGTCAGAAGAATAATTTATAGGGCGAGTTAACCCAACTGTATTTTTTACATTTTTAATATTGTTATCTTGGATATTAATTAATTTTGCCATTTTTTCTAATAATGGAATAAACGTCTGTGTGAGAGAGTGAGATAGACGCTGTGACATCTTTTAGGCTAAGACGGCCTTGGCTGCCCTATCTGCCTGTGTGCTGGACACCATATAATTAGTATAATTATAATTGGTAACTTGAGTGTCCAGAGCGAGTCTCTGGCCGGCCCTCGCTCAACTAGTGTCAATATCTTTAGGCCGCAACCCTCTGTAAATTCCTGTGCTAGTGTCAGCACGAAATGGGAGGGATGGGCTCTTAAACATGAACTTTATCTGGTATCCTGAACCAATAATGTCATTTACGGGATTATTACATTTATTATTTTTAATTCTGGCAGATTACTTAAGGGTTTGGTCGCCTTACACTTAATGGTGGAATCTGGCCTCCAGCTCCTGGTCTGAGCCTGGGGTGTTACTTAGGACACCAAGGGCCAATCTAAGGGCGATGTTTTGAATACCATCTAACCTTTTTAATTGAGTTTTGCTAGCACAATAATAGATTTGTGCACCATTATATATTTTTGAACGTATTTAATAGATGACTAGAGGGTGTTTTTATCAGTTCCAAATCAGTGCCTCTTAGCACACGCATACTGTTTAAGTCTTTACGGCACCTTGTAACCAAATCTGAGACATTGTGCTCAAATGATAATTTTCTATTCAAAAGTATGCGTAAAAATCAAACTACATGTGCATACCAGCCTGTGCATCTTTTGCTAGTTTGACCAAATTGGACCCTATTTTCCACGCGCCGAGTCATCGAGTCATCGGCAAACTGTCTTATGACCAAACCAGAACCAGAGAGGGCTTCCGGAAGCCCGTTGATTATAATAGAACAAAAATTTGTAGCAGAGTTACCAATGTCCCCTACCTCAGGGAAGTTTTATATGGATAATAAAATTTGTGCTATTTTAACAGATTGAGGTATTGATCTCAGGACTTTCAGTCCAATATTATGATCAATGCTATATCTGCAAATGCAACAATAAATCTATTAAAGAAATAAAATGAAACAAGGAATTTAAAAATCTATTATGTTAAGCTTTGACCTCTAGGTGTGACCTTGACCTTGGAGGTAAGGACGCAGGTGTTGTCCATGACATATCGTCTTATTGTTGTTACTATTTGTGCCAAATATTTTCAAAATCCCTTGAACTATGAAGAAGTTATGGACGGGACACAAATACACCATAATTATAACAGTTTCTGTTAACCTTGAACCTTTAAGTGGGACCTTGACCTTGGAGGTAGTGGCGCAGGTGTTGTTCTTGACATATCGTCTTATTATAATTGTGAATATATTTGCGCTTAGTTATTACAAACTCCTTTGATCTATGTAAAACTTATTCGTTTTTTTTACAATCACCAAAAGTTTGTGATATCCATGCATATCCAAATCCATATTTATATATAAGTAATTTAACATTTGTCTTCCAGCATTGTCAAGAGCATATAGCATTAAGTAGCATTTTTGGGTGACTGTTTGTAAAATTTAATTGAACAATATAAACAAAGTTGGAGCAACATCGTCCATTGAGTATTTGTAAGACTAAGCCTGGATTCCATCAAAACCACTGCTTTTGTTATTAAAAAGTTTTGACATAGACAAAATAATTTTTCCTAATGTAAACATCTAATTTAAAGAATTGGCTGTAGTGTCTGCATGAATAGGTTTGTTACCTAAATTGTGATCTACAGTAGTTACGTTCTCATTAAATAATAAACTATGAAAATAAGAAAACCACTCTTCTGCGTTTATACTATAACGGGTTTATACCGTTTAAGAATTTTCCAGCGCAAGGTAGCATTACCAACTGCATTTATTTAATCTTGCCTTTTATTTCTCTGATACTCATACAGCCTTACATTGCAATGATTTTTAAAATCATTACGTTCGTCCTTATATGCTTTCAAGTCAAGCTCTAGATTTGATGATCGGAGTTTCCTAAGAGCTTCATATTTCACAGATTTCATGTAATCACATATCTCATCCCACCATGGTTGAGAAGATACGAATCTAAAAGTTCGTAACATACATTCACCAGCGTCCTGGTAGGTCAAAGTTAACCTGTCTGTTTACATTATCAGCAATAGAGCTTTCGATATAGGCCTTATTTTCGATCAACAAAGATTTTAACTTACTAATAAAAGTATCTGTCAAAAAATACCGCCATCTAAAATTCTGTAGATTATGATGAGAATTATATTCATTTTGAGACTGCTTATTAAATTTCGTGTTTAACTCAAAAATACATGAAATAGGAAAATAATCTGATTCATCCCTATTTAAAACCTTGAAAACAGCGCCCTGTCGATGCAATCATATAATTCACAACACTTGCACCATTATTAGAAAAACATGTAACTTCTCCAATTCTATCACCAGAAAATTTAAAATGTGTACATCAAAATGACAACGCATATTTACTAATGATTTTCCGAAATTATTACCTCGATACATATCCTTATTTGTCCAAGGAATATCAAAATTGCTACAATCACATTCAATACTATGAAAAATATAATCTAGTGTAGGATTTGGTATGTAATTCAAAAAATCTTTACATCCATGTCTCCTGCAATATATAACATTGATTGTTGATAATCGTAGTTTATAATATCTTAGTGCTCTTACATTGTATCTTTGCCTCTTTAACATCAATATTATCTTAAAAACAAGACCCTTCATGTGGTATATAAGTAAAATACATAATAATATCATCACATTGAAAGTAGTTTGATAATTTGCAAAATAAGACGATACAGTTTTCAAAGTGATCATAAATACGCTGTATAGAAACTAATTTACTCAACCTACTTTTAATAAATACACTTATACCTTGGTTTTAGATTTCTAATAAAATCAAAATGAATATATGACTTTGAAAATTATCAAAGTCCTCATATTCTTTACCCCATGTTTCGCACACATGTTCAATATCAAATTTCTTTAAAAAAAAACCTAATAATTTCACAGTTATTTGTGTGTTTTTTTAAAACCACAAATGTTCCATGATGAAAAATTTAATGAATATTTATTTTCATATTGTTATCAGGACCTTGGCCTAATTCCTAGTCGGAAAACAATCTAACTCGACATCATCTTCGGATATTCCCGTAGCTCGTTCTATTTATCGATGATTATCACGTGTCGTTCCGCTGTCATATATACGATTCCTATGTTGAGAATCAACCAATCGCTGATTGATGCTTGTGGGGTAGTTCTCACGACCATGTGGTGATGCACGTGTTCTTGATCGTTTGTCAACCATTTCAATTTCATCAGTGAGGTCATCAAATTTGTATATACAATCGTATACTATAAGCTTGTTAAACTAACAGATACGTAATGTCCGTTTCTTCGCTCACTTAAGGAGTTTTCGATGACGCCTAACATGATCTGAATAATCTTTCTGTACAGAATACTGAGTGTGCTGGCCTGGTTTAAATAATTGTGTAGCCCTCTTGAAAATAAGCTGACAGTCTTTAAACCGAACAAAACGGACAATTATTGTACAGGCATTACTCTCACTCGACTTAATCCTGTGGGCTCGGTAAATATCGAACTCATCTGCTTTGTTACCAAAATTTAAGTCATTTCTGAGAAAAGTTTATCTTCAGTAACAGACCACCGTTTATCAATCTTTCCTTTGATACCATTAATATGTATATTATTCCTTCTAGAGTTATTCTCAAACTGGTCTAATTCATTTCTCATATCACACATTTGATATTTTCCTGTTTTAATGATTCATAATCAGTCTTAAGCTCATTCACTGTGGTTAATACAGTATTTAACTTGGCATTTAATTTATTAAAATCGGAAGAAACATTATTATTCTGGGTAGTTAAATCACTTTGCATAGTTTTCAAAAAGTCATACATATCTGTATTCTGACAATCTGTAGATGCTTTATCGTTTGTAGTTACGGTGTAAGACCTTTACGTCCTGTAGACCCTGGGCGGTATTGGACTGGTGGCGTAGACGTAGATTGCTGGTTTTGACTACACGACGTTGTGAACGACGATATTGACATTAGACGAGTATTAATCCCCTGTGACCCCCAAGTCACTCTACATATTATGTATATTTTTTATTAATATAACAATTGTTTTATATTATGTAAATTTGCAACTGTGACATCTATTTATATATATATATATATATATATCTATTTTGCTTTATAAACTTATAGTGCCGAAAGTAACGTTTCAATGACAATACTAGTACCTGTATCTTGCAGAAAGAAAATAATCCTGAATAATTTTCATTAGCATAATGTTTTGATCTTAAAAGGACACAGCATGTGTGGAACATACAGAAGTGGTTTTCGAGTCAGATTTGTTGACAGAGCTGCTTTCATCACAAAAACAAGCTGCACAATTCCTCGAGCTTGCTCATTTGGCACTGCGTGATGATCCAGACATTGCAAGTGAGGTAGGATTCAATTTTAGCCTAGGCAGCCGTTCAATCCAGGACACATAAATCTGATAAACATGTAAATTAGCATCTGCACAAACGGTGAAAAACCAACATGCATATGAGTTCTTCCGATCTGTTTAACCAAATTTTGACAATTTAAAATTAATCATTTATTAAAAGATACTTTAAGTATATCAACTATGATATTATTTATTATAATATACCCGGCTTCAATACCAAATTCTATGAAAAAAATCAGATTAGACGATTTTGCCGTAATGCATACAACGCTATTCAAATTACAATCGTTGTAAGGTTTTGTCAATTATACATTGTCAATAGAAACAGGATAAATTTACTTAGTTTTTTTTTTTCAATTTTATATGTGAATAAAAGGTTAATTTAACCTTTGTAATAAAATAAGTTTTAAAGTCTCTATAAAATGTATGGATGTTTATATCTTAATCAAAGCTTTTGATTTTTTTTTCATTTACTTCCATTCCATACTTGGATGCTAAAAATATTTTATGAACATGTGCATTGAATTATTTGTTTCATGTATATAACATTTTGTAGGTACGCATGACAGCAAATGAGTCCCAAGACCAACATCTGAAGACCCACAGTCTGGTGAAGGAATACCAAGGGACGGCTCTACATGTGATTCATACGATGCTCCCAATCATTCAAACTGGAATCAAGAAAAAGGTAAACTGTGAACTAAAGCCGTCTTTTACACATCATTTTGAATACTTAAACAAATTCAGGACTTAAGATGTTGAAACGATATTGAACTTAACATAAATATTTCTTTTCGAAATCATATATTTCTTTTCGAAATAAAAAAATTATAACAATTTGTAAACTCCTTTATTTTCCAATGTTTTATTTTTATAATATGCAGAAAGAGTTGCTGGTCATGAAAACATTGAAAAAAGTATTGACGTACGTCGATGAAATGATCTCGAAGACAGACAAAACAATAGACAAGTATGTTCGTACTGTTGTTACAATAGCACTTTTGAGCCACCAATTATTACACTTAATGTTCTGATATAAACAAACATGCTGTTGGGTTTTACGTCGCACAAACGCATTCGATAGCTTCCTCACAATATAAAGTCGTCGGTGGAGTTCAAACCTACAGTGGTGAGGCGAGTAAGTGGTTTGAAGTCAATGACTTAAACCACTCGACCACGTACACCCCTAAAATAAATGCAAAATATGTCTAAACAGATATGCAATTTAATGCGAGACTATTCAGATTACTAGTATTCAGTTAAATTTGAGGGTTGGTCATTAAGTAATGCCATATAAATTTTAAGTACATTACATCATATAGTTAGTTTTGAACTATTGTCCTCACGGACATTATACAACAAAACATGTTTTTCACGGTTCGTGAGTAATTGTTTTTTGTTTTGTGGGTATTGCTTGTTGGAATAAGTTATACGTTGCAACATCAGAAATGGAAAAAGCAAAGAGAAATAAGGAATTCCTAAGGAAAGTCCAAAACGACAAATCTGTAAACGTTGTAGGCTCATGAAGAATTCAACATTTAATCATGGTAATGGTGATTTTTGTTAATTTAGAAACATCCGCAGATGTTATCATACGATGGTTATCATGGAACTTTCAATCTGACACGTAAGCGCCATTCCACGAATAGCGGCGTATTGTCACAAAGTAAAACAATGCGTGAGCCTTAACGAGAAAACAATTGGCGAAACTAAATATAATAAAATTTTGCAAGGAAATCTGCGGTTATGAAGCCTGTTTATCACAGACAATACGCTAATAGATAACTTAGATAACTTTAAAATAAAGGCAACATATCGTAAGGGTGAGTATACAGTATTCAAGTAGGAATATTGGAACCAACCAACTGAAAAATAGCCGAAAAATTATAACTTAAAATACCACAAACACAGTACTGAACGACCTTTAAGGATCGGAAATATAACATACAATACATGTTTAAACAAAACAATTCGCCTTCACCATGAACGAACATCACGTTGGAAATATCCAAGAGATTGTTAACGAACGTGTGAGGCTATCTATGCTGCGGTATATATACATTTATGGAAAAGATGAGTTCTAGATTTTTTCAAACCAGTATACTTAATTTTCTATATTTTTTTCTGGCGTTCTGGCTTACAATATGGCCATTTAAGTACAATAGCAAACAAAGTATGACACTCGAAGAGGCCGAACAAGCCGCAGTGTTAGCAGAAGTCGACAAAGCTAGACAAAAACTAGCACAAACGCAATAGAATACAGAAAAACATAACCCCTAAAGAAAGTCCAACATAACAAAATTGAAAATGTTGCAGGATCGGTTTGATTGAGCCTGTTCATGAACGGTACTGTAAAGTGCAAGTAACCGTCCACGCCCCTAAGCACCGGCTTAAGCAGAATTCAACATTTAACACGAAAATTGTGAAATTTTGAAATTAGAAACATCCGCAGATGTGTTCATACGGCGGTTATCATGGAACCTTCAATGTGACACAGTAGTGCCATTCCATGAAAAGCGGCGTATGGTCCCCAAGTAAAAAAATGCTTTTGCCCTAAACGAAAAAACAATGGGCGGAACTAAGTAAAATTAAATTTTGAGAGGGGATCTGAGGTTATGAAGCCTGCATATCACAGATAAGACGTCAAAAGACAAATTTAAAAAGCAGTCAACATATCCTAAGGGTGATTATACAGTATTCAAATAGGAATACTGGAACCACCCAAGTTGAAAATGGCCAAATAGAAGAAACTAAAAGTACCACATAACATTTATACACATAAATATAATGTCGTGCAAGCCTTTGTGGCTCATAGACAAAAGTTGATACGTTTGCCTGATTCTTCAGACCTAGTCTGGAAACACGTTGTAGAGAATGAAAAAATTAATTGTTTGCTGATGATTCAAACGATAAGCGTAGAATAATTAAGGCCAAAACAGGAGCGAGCAGGAAACTCAAAAATAAGGAGCAAATAAAATCACCTAGTGCAAAAACGGTTCCTTACCAGAAGTCAAGCGGCACTTTTACAGGTCATTCCAAGATGTCAATGGCAACGTTATTGACAAAATCGACACCGCGCAGATCCGGGCTATATATTATTTGTGGGAAACTGGGCACAGGGTGGTTCGCTAGAATGTTCAGACAGAGCTTCTAATACTAGTAATACGGTAGAAAAAAGAGAGTTTGCCATTGTGGGAAAAGCTATTGATAGAAGGCATATTAAGACGTTATCGAATAAGGTTATTAAAAAAAAGCTCGACGAGAGAACCTGTTTTCGTTGAAAAATAAATTGAACAAGAGGGTAAAGATGGCACTACATCGCTCACCTGACCCATCGAACTGATCCGACAAGCATTCTGACCATTAGTTTCATGACAGGTGAATCAAAAATGTGACCACTAGAGTGTCAACAAGGTTTTCCATATTTGAGCATTGTGACCTAGTTTTTGACCCAACGTGACCCATATTCGAACTTGATCTAGAAGTCATCAAAACAAACTTTCAGGCAAATTTCCAGGATATTTGGATCAAAACAGTAGCCACTAGAGTGTTAACACAATATTTGTCTATTTTTAGCTCCTGTGACCTGGTTTTTCATCCGAGATAACCCATGTTTGAACTCATTCGAGCAATAACCTAGACAAGCATCCTGACCAAGTTTGATGATAATTGAATAAAAAATGTGACCACTTGAGTGTTAACAAGGTTTTTGCATATTTGAGCGATGTGACCTAGTTTTTCATCCGAGATGACCCATGTTCAAACTTGACCTAGAAATTATCAAAACAAACTTTCAGACCAATTTCCAGAATATTTGGATAAAAACAGTAGCCACTAGAGTGTTTACAAGATTTTTCTATTTTTAGCTCATGACCTAGTTTTTCATCCGAGATTACACATGTTCGAGCTTATCTGAGCTCTAACCTAGACAAGCATCCTGACCAAGTTTAATGATAATTGAATAAAAATGTGACCGCTAGAGTGTTAACAATGTTTTTCTTTTTATAACTCCTGTGACCTAGTTTTTCATCTGAGATGACCCATGTTCAAACGCATTTGAGCTATTACCTTGGAAGCATCCTGGCAAAGTTTGATGATAATTAAGGCAAAAATATGACCGCTAGAGTGTAAACAAGGTTTTTCTATTTTTAGCTCTTGTGACCTAGTTTTTCATCCGAGATGACCCATGTTCAAACTCATCCGAGCTATTACCTAGATAAGCATCCTGACAAAGTTTGATGATGATTGAGGCAAAAATGTGACCGCTAGAGTGTTAACGAACAATTGTGGACGGACGACAGACGACGGACGACGGACATTCAACGATCCTTAAAGCTCACCCTGAGCTAGCTCAGGTGAGTTAATTATTAATAAAAAGGGTTTGTTGTAAGGTATTTAGCAAATTTTGCACCATGAATCCGGTGACGGTCGCTTTAAAAAGTCAAGCCCTTTATGGTTCTTGACTTTTGATATATATATCCTATTTTACAGTTAAATTTGAAGATGTCAACGTAGTAGAAATATCATTCGATCTCAGTTCATTTCTTCTTTTCACATACAATTTGAAACGTGCATACCATCATGTTTTAGTTTTTACATATCATTGCGCAGCTCCAGGTGACATGAATACGGAAAAGGGAGAGAAATTACATTTTATTTTTAATTCACTGTTTTTCGGCATTAATACACCTTCTCACATACTTTCGAAAATGTAACCAATCCTAATCATATTCCTTACAAGAAACGGTCATAAACTGTAATATCTCTCGATGATGGTATCGGCAGAAGTGAATATGAGAACGCTGTTGGTGCTGTCACGTTTACTGGACACTCATTAGATTTCAGATTTCTTCTTGCATGCGGAAAATGTCTGTGGGAATCGGTGTTAGACATTGAATATGATAAACAAGATCAACAAGGAAAGGCAGCGTTCTATTATTTATATATTTCAAGCGACAGGAATGCATAGGCTAGAAAAAATATTTTTATGCGTTGTTTCAAATTCATAGTATGGTACCTGTAAAACGAGTAAAATAATTTCCCTGTAAAGCGTTTTAGGAAATGAGGTATGGTTGTTAGGGTACGGTTACTAACAACACATTTATTCAAAAGTATCCACGAGCGAGCTTTAGTAGTAGTACCAGACAACGCAAAGTTACCGTGTTGGTTTCAAAACGTAAACATTCTGAACGAAAATGGAAGACCGTTCATATATGATCAAGAGAGCCCCATTATGATCGTTATGTAAAAATATCAAAGTATTACACGATATATATTAGATACACAACAAAATATACGTTGATTGTTCTGAGCCACGGAAATGTTCTTTGCATTCATGTGATTGAAATAATTTGGTAAACTAATCGTTCGACATGCTAGCTTTTAAATAATAAACCATGAATAAATTATATTGTTATATTTATTGTTATAAGAGACACGTAAAATAGGAAAAGGACGAGGCTTTACCTGCACAGCTTAGATCAGTCCCTATGTACTTACCATAGGATATGGATCAAGGTTAATCTCATACATCTGTTTATTACAGTGTTAGTGGTTTCATTCTTTGAATGACTATTCTGATCCCACAGTATATAACATTCTTAATCAATGATTTGAATAACTTTGCTTTTGTAAAAACGTTGTTAGGACTTTTAATTACTTAACGTTACATCGTATTGTTGAGTACTATTGTCCTAAATAAAACCGATTTGTCACGATTCAGGAGTAGAAAATATTTTGTTTGTTGAAATATATTCTAGCGAGATCTACTGGTAATTTCAAATTGTAATTTAAAACAGGTTTATTAGACGTGTAGAACCTATGTGATCATATTGATATTTATCAATACATACTTTTAAACATGTTCGTAAATGTTTCGTGATTCTTTTAACCTGAAGAATGAAAATAAAGTTTTAAGATTTAATATACTTAAATGTGCATGCCATAGAAACACGTTTCTCCGTACAAAGTAGGTTCGGTTGTTCGTATAAGGCTGTCATTCCTATGACGGATCACTTTAAAGTAAGGCGAATAACTGTCAAATTAGATAGGCTCCCAATTTGTTAACATCTGATCCGAAGAATGAGCTAGTTAAATGCGCCTGAAAATAAAATACATTAAAATGTTTTATAATACTAATTTTATACGTTTATTCACCAGTTTGCACGTGCAACAATAACATTTGGGCCACCGCAAATGTTCGTCTATCATGTATCATAATGTATCGGTAAGCGATTAACAAGTGTCAAGAAAGCATTGTACGTTCGATACCAAATAACTTTTTCGAGAGGTGGATCTGTTATATTCGAGTATTATAAAGTTCTCATAGTAAGGACATCGAAAAACACCTCAATAAAAGTTTTTCTTCGAATAGTGTGAAAAAAATATATTTTCTGCTTGACACCGCTCTACCACAAAAGGGAGCTACTTTTATTTCTCTTGAGAAAAAACGAGTGATTGTACTTAGACGTCCATCGTAGTCACCAGACTTGGCACCCTGTGTCTCTTTCCTCTATTTTGATTGAGAAAAAAATATTCCATGTTGGAAAAAACGTCTAAAACTTTTATTTCAGATCCCCGGTAAAAATCCATTTTATTTAGTTCCGCCCATTGTTTTTCACGTTAAGGGCACACGCATTCTTTTACTTTGAGACCGTTTTTCATGGAATGGCACTACTGTGTCGAATTGAAGGTTCCATGATAACTACCATATGAACACATTTGCAGATGTTTCTAAATTCAAAATTAAACCAATTTCGCGTTTAAATGTTGAACTCTGCTGAAGCCGGTGCTTGGGGATTGGATAGTAACTTGCGCTTTCCAGTGCCGTCTATGAATGGACTCAATAAAACCGACTTTATATATGAATATATTGATTAAACCTTCTAAATATATAACCGCTTAATACGTTTTTTTTTAACATAATACTAAGTTTTCATTTACAACTCATGTATGTTAAACATATATTTCGTAAAAACTCTGTTCATATAAAAATAATAACAATGCAATTTAAGATATGATAAACAAAATCAAAAAAGAAAGGCGGCGCTCAATCAACACAACCCCCACACGATCCAGCAACAAGAACCAGTGGTAAGGAGCTAGGAGGACCCGAAACAAAAACGGGACAGGGTGCGAGGCAGAGCGCGGATAGACCTATCACTAAAATAATGCATAAGAAATAATAGTAACCGACAAGGAAATCAAATTCAAAGAAAAAAGTAAATGATTGATTGATATGCCCAGTTAGTAAAAGGGCACAGGGAAAAGGTATAGGAGATTCGTGGAAGGAGGAGGACACATTAAAGAAATAAAACTAGGGGCAAAAGGGAATATACTTACCGTAGACGAGAAAACAACAAGGGACGCCAACAAAAGTGTCACCAAAACAGTATGAAACAACAAGACATACATCTGAGGAACACAGAGGGGCGCGCCTTGGAACAGTCAGCAGCATAAGTACTAGTGGGAGTTTAAACCACCGGTTAATAGTGCACAAAACCTCACTCTTAGCCCCACCATATTCATATAAACGAGGCAATGTAAATAAATGAATTCCCGGCAATTGAAATTTCATCAGTTGTTTTGGTTACAAAACGTGAACTAAGTAAATCACTTAAATGATTATATAGTAGAAACATATAAAAGAAACCCAATGACCATAACAAAATTACTCAATGTCTTAAAGGAAGACAGAGCAACTAACAAAATCACCTACTAGGGCCCGACGAAGCAAGGCAGAAGACGAATATTAATGCAATTCAGTCCCAAAGGATTTAAAGAACTGTCCATCATAAGTCTCCCACTTGGTCCGTCAAATGCAATCAAAAGAGGAAAGTGTAGTGTCCAACTAAAAAAGGGTTGAACACTAAGCTATAATATGTCTTACAATAGAAGGGTCATAACCTCCTTAAATAAAACTTTAAATGATTTTAGTAAACACAGCAGAAAAATTACCATGACTCGAAATTCGCCAGATTCCGGAAAAGAGTTTGATACAACTTATAAAATATACTGACTCAATTGTTTATGAAATTTGAAGTAAGATGTTTATTATTCGTTTATATTGAGTACGCATTGATTTCCAAATATATCTATTTCTATAACATATTATGTTTGCAGATACTACGATATAAAGAAAGCTGTGAATAAGGAGAGAACGTATATAAATAAGAAAAATAAAGAAATTCAAATAAGAGGAAGTGAAATAGAAGTTGAAATGAACAGGGAAAAACGCATGTTAAAAGAAGACAGCGAAGATTTAAAGGCGTTACAGTCGAGTAAAGAAAAGAAAGAAGAAAAGATGGAGCAATTGAAATCCAAACGGGAAGATTTTATCGCCAATTCGGGTGAGTCATATGTATATATCATTTCCTTAATGTAGTTACATATTCACTTATATTAAATTTAATAGAATTTTACCTATTACTGCACTAAGATGACAAACTATATACCGGGTATAATTTTAAACAAGAGGGCCATGATAGCCCTGAACCATCACCCAAATCCAAGCAATGTCATGACTTGACCAAGAAATCATCAAAACAAACTTGCAGACCAATGTCGTGGTCAGGTGAGCTAAAAATATGAGAATATCACATTCTATTTGTTGTGGTGATTAAAAATATGTTAATAAGTGTTTCTAAAAATAGAAGCAGGCCTCTTTCCCACTTGGCACCATTGTTGTGGTGTTGAAAATGAAAAGCCTTAAGTTTTCTATAAATAGAATTTAGTTACTTATTACCTAATATATACTTTTAATTTTCTTAGTTTGCTCAGGAGTACTCTTTAATGGGGAAAAATCTAATCGTCAGGATGACACCACCCTTTGAATGCAAAGGGAAATAAAACACAAATGTTGAATAAATTTAAATCAACCAAATTTTTAATGAACTAAGTTTTTATTTACACTTAACTAAAAGTTACTTAAAACTAAACAAGTTGACAAAATGTACTTTAATATAAACTGTTTGTAATTAACCAAAAATATGATAATCAAAATAAACTAGTGAATAAAAGATTTAAATCAGTTGAAAGTTGTTTAAACTGTTATAAATGAAAATATGAAAAATAACCTTAATGATTCTGTGCTGTTAAACTAATAAATCTGAATAGTAGCAAGCCCTGTTTTAATCTATATCAACAAAAAATAAAGATCTAATAATTCAAGATGGCTGCCACTTAAACAAGGAAAATATATTAATTAATCTTAATTAATTTTGTCAAAAATAATTACTAAAATAACTTACAAATTTATCAAAAATGTTTTAGTGAATTTAGATAATCTCTAAGGTTCATTTAAATGCCAAAGTGCCTAAAATAAATTAAATAATTAATTAATTAACCTTAGAGAGCTTTTAGAGATCTTACTTTTCCAAAAATTAGCAGCAGAATGACAAAATTTCCTGAGATGTTTGTATAAATGGACTTCTGAATCCCAGAGGGAGCTAGCATCTACCTACAGGTGGCACTGTATGTAACAACTTATCTGACTGGTCAAATTATAGCCAATCAAAATTTACTTAACAAATGCTCTAGGCTTATCAGTACTTTACATAACTATTCTAAAAATAGATTATGATTCATGGAAAATTTTGCAACAGTATCAATTGACCATGATTATAAAAACAATAAAGTAATTAACTTTTACAAAAATATTCTAAACAATAAAACTAGAAACTAATAATCATATTTACAAGCATAATTTGTAAATCATGCAAATGCTAAATTAACAATATGTATCTCACTAAGTTTAAAGGTCAGTGTACCTGATTCTCTATATATTGTATGTAAAGAGTCTTCTGCCATGCTGTGTTACTGTTAAAGAGTGTATCATGTTATTACTCAATACAAGATAAGAATGAAATGTCAATAAAACAAAGCATGTTCAATATGATTAAACTTAAACCTAAATTAAAGTTTAAACCCTTAATATTTATGAAGATTATATATGATTTACTTCTTGAGTAATATTATATAACATTATGTAATGATTATATAACCTGTTGTAGTTGGAATCCAACTTTACAACATATTTAACATAAATGTTTTAATATCCATCAGGATCGTTTCAGCAAGGATATTCTCAGAAACATTAAGTTCTTTTGATAAGATATTTAGATGATGTAAAACTATCACGTTATTTTACTTTTATTCTGAATATCCATTCTGACCTATGCATTATAAACACAAGGATTGTGATATTAATTTTGTTAATGGGGGGGGGGGGGAATTACAAGTAAAACAATCGGATTACTGACAAACTTGTGAAAGGTTACTCTGAGAGTAATTTAGGAAGCTTTATATTGCAATACGTAACAATATGAATAAGTGTCTTCTTAGAATAGAATATGTTATATGTTGGTTGTAGTTCCTTGCATACATAAAATTAATGAAGATGATATACTTTCCAGTGCAGATGGAGTCTTTCAAAGATGTTTTTATTTCTGGCTTAGTATCTTTTGGCGCACTTTTAAGAGGCGAAAAATTTGGCGTTACAATGATGGAAGTGGCTTCTAAAGCAAATCTTGCACAAAAAGAACAGGCGGTAACTTGTGATAATTATAGCATTTACTTTGTAAAGCGTTAGAACTATTTATTATTTTCCTAAGTGGAAAATAAAACGTTTCTCAGCGTTTTTCTATCTTAAAGCAAAGACAGATCTTCACTCACTCAAAAAGTAGAGCTTTTGTCATGACCAACTCGCGGCGACATATGCAAAGATTTTCCCCCCGCCATAAAATGGCCGGAGCATATAGTGTTACTCTGTTCGTCATTTCGTCCTTTCATCCTTACGTTATTCCGTCATCATCAGTTTCCGGTTATAATCTTGGTAAGGATTGCACACAGCAAACTCAAATTTAAAATATGGATATATCATAAGAAAATACAGGCCACGTTCGAATTTGTTCACAGTCCGATGATTTTTGACAGAGTTATGCCCCTTGATGAAAATTTCAGTTTCCGTTCATTATCTCGAGCTCCCAATCAGTTGTTCACCTTCAAATCAAATTTGGCATATGGATATGTCAAAGGTTAAGTTTAAATTTGATGATTTTGTCCGTGTTATGCCCCTCTCCTTTAAAATAAAGAAAAAAAATTCAGTTTCTGTTCATTATCTACTCAACCATTGTACACATTCAACTCAAATTTAAGATATGGATATGCCTTAGAAATGTGAAGATCAAGTTCGAATTTGGTCTTAGTTCAATGATTTTTGACAGAGTTATGCCCCTTAACTTTGGAATAATAAGACATTTTCTTTTTCTGCTCATTTTCTCCCCACCAGTTTTACACATTCAACTCAAATTTAATTTATGGCTATGTCATTCAAATCTGCAGTTCAAGAGCAAATTTGGTCATGATTTGATGATTTTTCACAAAATAGTCCCTTTCTAACTTTGAAGAAAATAAAAATAAATCAGTTTCCATCTATTATCTCCCATACAGCTGTAGACATTCAACACAAATTTGACATATAAATACATCAAAGGAATGCGCAGGTTAAGTTTCAATTTGATCATGGTTCAATGAATTTTGGCAGAGTTATGCCCCTATAACTTTGAAAAAAGAAGGAAATTTTCAGTTTCCGTTCACTATCACCCAAATAGTTGTATTTGACATATGGATATGTCATAAGAATACTTTGGTCAAGTTCGATTTTGGTTATGGTTTGATGATTATTGACGGATTAATCCCCCTTGAACTTTGAAAAAAAGAAAATTTTTTTAGTTTCCGTGGTTGTAAACATTCAACTAAATTTGACGTATTGATAAGCAGGTCAAGTTTGAATTTGATCGTGATTCAATGATTTTGGACATTGTTATCTCTCTTGAATGTTAGGAAAAATTTGAAATTTCCAGTTTCAGCACTCATACTTATGTGGAAATGTATGTAGTCATTATTTCGGCTACAAATATGCAATATGCAATTTACAAAAGGTTAACACTGAAAAGTTTCAGTACCTTGAACTTTGTATAAAAATGGTTTTTGGTAACATTGAATATTTTAAGGGCTTTGACCTTAGAATGAAAAAATACTTTGTGCAAACAAGTTTGGGACATATTATTATATTATATATTATAATATTTGAAATTTTGGCTGTATGGGGGTTTGATGGCATTCGTGGCATGACGACACATTTCTAGTTTGAACAAGATTTTATAAAAGGTTATTAACTTCATAACTAACAATGCTATAAATTTGATCTTCAAATTGATGATTTCGAGCTATACACATATTTGTAGGACGAAAGGTCAACTATCAAAAACACTTGAACTTGTAACAATGAAATTTGGACATTTACTCAAACTGCGTTGATCTTTGATCTAACCAACTTACCGATTTTTAGTCAAAAGTCACTGTAAAATAAAGTGGTGCGCGTGGATATTAAGCATTATTATGTGAGACGGTTCAAATATGTATGCTACGTGTAAAATAGCTCGTTAAAGCAATTGGGCAAGTATAAACGGATGCAATTACTCCCTGTGGAAACCAATGTTCGATTTTGTTACTGTTGACATTTCAAACAAAGGATTATCCGTTGTTGTTTGTTTGCTTCAATGTCCTTTTGTAAGAATTGATTTTAAAACATGACCCGCTTTTGTTTTTCTTCATTAATGACACATTCACTTCTTCATGGGTAGCACATACGGTGAAACTTCATCATCAATGTCCTTTTTTTGGTCAGGATAGGTTCGTCTTATCTTACAAAAGAGTAATGCGTTTGCGATACTTAGAATGTCTTACATAAAGTATTTTTAGATGTAGGTTAATGTGATATAATTTTGTAGATCATGCATTGACATGTACTTGGTTTATACAGAATGTTTTTTAGTTCAATTGTGTAGGAAGCTATAGGCTTATACACACACTATCAAATCCGTTCATGGAAGTAATCAGTACTGAGCAATGAGTGTAAAGTTTCTTGCTCAAGGAAACAACCACTTGCCTATCACGGGGTTTGAACCCATGCGGTTAGCGATCATTAGATTCCTAGTCCGAAGCGTTAACAATTCGGCCATGCCGTCACCTTAGACGTGTACTTCATCCGGTCATCTTGCGTTTGATGTCCTGTTTAAACGGTATGTATGCTTGTGACTCGACTGCTGTTTACCGAGCAGCTGAATCAAATTTTTACCGACACTAGACGTTTTGGGTACAAAATGTTTCTATACGTCAGTTATCCATCAGGTCCAGATTCAAATTTATAATTATTTGTATACTTTTTAAGCAAGCAATAATTCCCCTTTAAAGGCATTCGTCACAACTTTCTATTTCAACATTAAAACTTTTTACTTTACAGGTTTGATAGCCATGTGATAATCAAAGAAGTTTTAATCTCTAATGAAAGTACATTATTATATTCATATTCAGAGTAAACAAGCCCTCAAAGCTAGTGAAGAAACTAAAAAGGATATTGAAAAAGAACAAAAGATCATTAAGGAAGAAGAAGAGCGGATATCAAAGATGAAAACAGAAGCTATTGAAAGCCTTACTACTATGGAAAAACTAGCTTTAGAAAACTGTAAATATTTGATTTTCTTAATTCTTATCATTGAAACTAATAAATTGTTTGTACAAAAATAAAGAACATATGAAGAAAACCTACAAGCTAGTTCAATTGTCTTATAAATGAACGTAAGACTGCACTTCAGTTCAATTTAAGCAGAGGGACCTTTTGAAAATACAATATTGATAGAAAACAGAAATATCATTTCGTGAATGCGCATTGTATGTAGGGTGAAAAAGCAATTATAACGAAATAGTTACAGTATTCAACAACTTCTCAAACAATGAAATCTAAATGATTAACCATAAGCTTAGAGAACATGTAGTTCATTTTGATAAATAATCAATGCAATGTCGAATTTATGTTATTTACTTGAACAGTGCTGCATTTACGCATTAATTCAGGGTCTTTACAAATATATAATATCTATATATATAACATCTAACATGCATTCATTATCACATGTTCTGACCTTTATTCAGACGAGGTTTTTCTTTGATTTTATGTGATATATAAATATCTTATCTTATCGTATCTTATGAATTATATTAAGATTTCTTATTTAAATAAAACAATTTCCAATTTTCCAAATTTTATACAACAAATTTCTCAATGATTTTTGATGTCGGTGTGGTCGCAAAGGTGATTCTTAATTTACGTACATTTTGGCTATCTTGTCCAAAATGCTTTAAAGGCATCTTTTGCTTTTACCTAATTATTAAAAGCACACACACACACACACACACACACACATGCACGCACGCACGCAAGCACGCACATGTTATTCGGACGAATAACTCAGAATTTTCTATGAACTTAAACTACATTTCTATGTATGGCGCTGTTTTTTGCCCTACACAGATTTTGCATTCACGAGATAATACAACATCGGCTTGATTTTTCATATGACCGCGTCATAAAAAGATTTATATAAACATATTCCACTTTTTCCTTAAAATTTTTATTTTTTTAACTATAGCATACATTTATTTTAACGAGTCATATACATTATGTACTTAAACTAAAATGCATTAATTTTGTGAAGTACACAAGACCTTTAAAACGTTGTTTAAAATCGTGTACCATCTTGTTTTCGATACTTTTCAAGCGAATCTAATGAACGAAGAAAGTCTTAAAATGGCTGAAAGAGAATTAGGAAAGGTCACAGATCTTTTTGGTAGAATATTGCTCTTTTGGGAGCAATTCTCTGCAAAGTTGACAACCCTGACAAGAAGCCACGATGCAATCGAAACATACATAGAATTCATAACTGATGATGACCTTGCAGAAGAAATTGACGAATCAGTCACAACTGTAAAAAAGGTAAAATTATATAATCTCTATCAATTTTTTGAAATATATGTTATGTGTACATATCCCTCCGATTCAATTAATCGTCTAGTTTTTCCCTGTTCTAACATACCGTTTAACTGAATTTCAAACTTTGATGTTACTCAATCATAAATTGCAAGCATCCTTAAACGACATATTAATTATGACGTATTCTTGAGATTTGAAGAAAGGAAACTATTCACTTACTGATTTTAAGTTACTCTCATTAGGTGTATTGACCGCCGAGATATAACCAAATAATGCATGAAAGATATATTGATATCAAATTTAATATTAAGAATATTGTAATTACTATAAGTCTATGTTGCATTAAATGTTAATAAAACTTATTTTGGGTACACACAAAGTTGGTATTTTAACTATAGGTAACACAATATGAATTCATAATTATTCAGAAAACTGTCAGTAATTATAAGAAAGGATCAATTTAATTTAGGTGTGGACCTCATTTGGAAATATGTGTACCAACTATGTTGATAAGAGTGTGGAGCAACTTCCCGAGCTTTATGCGTTCATGGCAACACCTGTAGACCAAATGTCTATTGAAGCCTGTACTAAGAGGAAGCAGGAACTGCTTGAGAGCCAGAGAGCTGAAATAAAGGAAATTGAAGAGAAATTCATTAAACTTTAAAATGATTCTTGAAACATGAAACAATGTTTTTTTCTTCTTTTTTACACCAATAGTATTGATCGTAATACGGTTTGAAACTTCTTTATTTTAAAATGTATTTACATATATGCGTTGTTTTAAATATTTATAGACATTTTGTATTGCTTTTGATATTTAATTTTATTACGTTTCGTTTGTTTGATAAGAATTTGGTATGAAATTTATTGTTAACATATACATGTATTCATTTTATATAAGAGATGCAATCAATCTTTAAAGTTGCTTTTTATAAATTGCATAAAAAAAATAAAGCTATACTTCGTTAAAATGAGATGCATGTGGACTCCCGTAACTGTTTTAACCTTATTGTGGCCAAATCGAAATGTGTTTGCATAAGAAACTTCGCCTTTAGGCCATCTGTAGATCAATAGAAAACCAACAAACATAGCTTTAAGTAGCATTCCGAATATAATTGTATATTTCCGCATTATATAACATACCGATGTTTTATACAAATCATATCTTCCTTTTAGATGTGAACGACAGGCATAGAGCACCGTGAAGTTATACCGGTGAAAAGTTTGTTTGAACACCCATTTTGATATACCCTTACTCTTATCTTATAATTGGAGATAGACAGATCAAGGTCATGTATGTATCAATGCATTTGTTGGGCCAATTAAAAACTTTGATTTTTTTAAGTAACACTTTGACGTTTCACTTGTCTTGTGCATACACGAGCTTATCATATTCTTCATTTGCATGGTAAAATTTGTATACGAACTTTACTGTTCCTTTTAAAAACACAAGATATTAACAATATTTGACATGATTGCCGACAATGGTTAATGAAAAAAATGCTTGACTAGAATGTTTGATATTTAGGCCGGCGGCTTAGTATTTTACATGTATATAAAAAGCAGCTTTAAAGGAACTCTACTGAGATATAAAGGCCTACATCATAAGATCTGAATTTCTCACATGAAATAGCTGGGACAATTTACACTGACAAATGTATAAATTTGAGTGAAATAAAAAAATGGGACACAAGACGCATTTTTCACAAATGGAATGTTTGTTATCTTATTAGTATTGTGTTTTTGTGATACATATGTAAATTTTGCTTTTAGTTAAAAAGTGTGAAAATATTTTTGTCTGTTATGAATTTAAATATGAGATTCTGAGTGGATTATAGAAGGCTTTCTCCTGTTATAAATATTCTTTTGTATTTATTTTTCGTTAATTTAGCACTTTTCAATGGTCTGTTTGTGAACAATTTTATTTTGTACATTCATGTACACGAGCTTACATTACATTTTTATCAACTGTTAATAAAATTGACAAACTTTTGTAAATGTAAAGAATTTTTGGCTGTTAAATAATTTGGCTCTTTGAAAATAAACTGTCTGGCAGGACGTTTTGTAATATATTTCTATTATTTTACGTTTAGGGTGGTGGTTTTAGATTTTTTACTCCATATATTTAGCATAACATTGTTGAAAATATTATTTTTTGACCGAAGTGACTACCTATGACCACGGAAATAGTAAGTCGGTTCCTACGGTAGGCCACAACAAGTTTTCAAAATATGGCAAAAAAGATTGACGTGTTAAAAGTACAAAAAACAAAGAAGTTTCATGTTTTCCTTACGAGCTAATTATTAACTGATATTAAGAAATATCTTCTAACATTTGTTTCTTCTACCTTGTGTATGTGTTTATTATTCTATCTCTGCTTAGACATAAAAATAGATTGCTTTAAGTGTTGTTGTATACTAAAAATTATGTAGATCTTCAAATCACTGGTTTGTTTTTATTTTATCGGGCATTCGCAGATTTGGCGAGTTCAACCCCTTGTCTATATATTATATATAAACTATATATTTTCTTTTTTACATTATCCCAACACTGTACCGGGTCCCTTTGTACTCGACAGTTAATTTAAATTAAGAAATGCTAAATGAACTTAATCTATACAATTAGAAATGTAACATACATTTTCAACGGTATTAAACAACAATGGAGGTAAACATATTTTCATATCAATACAATTAATGTATTTCGTACTCACAATTATAACTGTTATAAATATTGTCATCTAATTAAATCATCAGATGCACGAGATGGCTTCCGATGACCTGCAATTATAACAGTCAAACGAAGTCCAAAGCAAATAAATATGTATTTCTATGTAAGAATGAAAAAAAAAACACTGAGCCTGAATAAAAATTGTCCAAATTGTTGGGTAGTCTCATTGGTTGATATTGTAATCAGTGTTTATATATAATAAGGCAGCAACATGGTCATTTTGTATCGACATGTACAAACGAAATGGAATATAACATTTAAAAATGTGTAATCTGATAAGAGCAGATCATATTTCTGGAAAAATTGAATTATAAAAATTAATTAATTTCCCTATTGTGTTGTATAAATAACAAACAGCATAGACTATTCACTTAAAACTTCACTTGTTCATAAATTACATTTGAACAACCATTATTTTACCACTCTGACACTGGACTTTCAGATTTGCATTATCGTAAGTTACTAAAACCAAAGTGTAATTTCCTTCATTACACACATTTCATGTTCACATGAATAAATGTGATTTGGACTTTGGGTATTACTTTATCATTACAGTTCTAATACCTTGCTTTATCCAGTATCAATCTTTGAATATGTCTAAATAAATGTTCATTGGATAATTATTGGTCTAAATAGATTATAAAACAATAAAGAAATAAAAATAATTCAAAGCTTGGTGGTCTTAATAGTTGATAAGCCGGATGGTCTTAATTATGAATCACGTGACCATTCAATGAAGGACATAACTATTGCCAACAAAAGCTGGGTTGTTTTGATTCAAGGGTTGTCTATAGTAGTTTTACTAATATATTTTATATGAATTAGTGAAATAGTTACTAATATTATTTTTCTTAGATGTAAGATTGTTTAGAAATGACTGGTCTATAGCGAGCACATTTACAGTAAGTACTAGTATTTTGTACACTAATAAAAATAATAGAAATGTATGTTTTGGATAATCTTATAAGATATTGCTTGATACAAAATGTTCAAAGTGACTTTGTTTATGAACATTTATATGATGTATGCTAATAATCTGTTATAGAACATTTAAAGGAGATAAAAAAACGTTCTATAACAAATTATTCATTGCCAAATAACATTAAATGTAATAAAAATATTGTTTCTTAACAATAATTTTAGTATATGAAAGCATTGCTCAGCAGAATGGGTCAACAGGTCAAAAAGTTCAAATCTTACGGTAACACTTTTTTTTCATTCTGCATACATGTACATGTGTCCTCAATTTGCCAATGAGAGGTCAATGATAATAAGTGTGTTATAAAATCTTACAGATGTCCCTCATTTATCAAATATGCTGTTAAGTGCAAAGGCAGAAAGAATTTAAAACAATTAAACATCAAAGTATGTCTGTCACTAAGTTATTTAAGTCAAATTTACAATAAGTCATATTGGACATACGCTTTAATGTAATATTTCATCAAAGTATACAAAATATGATTAAAATCAATGAACGCAACCCCCATATGATCCAGCAACAAGAACCAGTAGCAAGGAGCCCAGGCGGACCCCAAACAAATCTACACGAGAGTTTAACATTTCAAACGAGAGTGTTTTTTTTTTCAGACAAATGTTCTTTGATAAGGGAAGTAAAACATATATATAACAAGTGTTAAACATAAGTAAGTGTTATTTCCCTTTTTGTATAGGTAAAGTTATTTCCGTATTTACTAGATATACAAGTTGTTCGTTTGTTTTGTTGATTTTACGGCTCAACAACAACACAATTCAGGTCATTTGGTTATGAGAGCAGGAAAGATGATTTTTGCCAATCTCGGTTGTCACTTTTGAAAATATACACCAGGGGTCAATATCAACCCCACCTCATTCATATTCCAAAGACATGCAAATAAGAATTCGTAGGCGATCAAACAATTTATCCTGCTTTACAAGGTGTAAACAATGAACAAATCGAAGATAACAGTACAAAACGTCAGCTAAATGTTATTTCTGACTTAGAATGAGATTCTCCTTTGAGACAAAATTTGCAAGGATAATGCAGACTATCGGGAGGCATTGACACAAACTAGAAACAGAGATCGGATTGATAAAATCCTCATAGAAAGCAATACGCATAAAGATTTTCCTGGAAAATAAGCGTTTTGATTTTTGTAATCTATAAATTAAGCTAAATATTCAGCATGATGAAAAACAAATCAATACTATTTTATCAACACACACATTATAGCACAATTCTGTTTTAATAATGTAAAGATGTTTAATCATAGGTCAGGGATATAAAAGCATATGTAAACCAAATGTAAAAGATAAAAACTTATTTTTCCCTTTTTGTATAGGGGATTAAATTTTGTACCCTTTTGAAGGTCTTCTTTACAGCAATATAAGACCCACAGCCCTTATTCAAGGAAATGTCTAGGAGAAATCCACGTGGCATGGTCGTTTTGTGGAACACTCGGAAATCTCACAGTTTTACGGTTTTCGACCTTATATTGAACTAAAGAAGAACCTTCAAACTGTCACACTCTATTTGGACATTACTTCAACTGTTTTCTTACGCTGCGTTCATGCGTTTATTTTACCCATGCTAACTGCCCATTGCGTCTCTTCCTGTAAGAACGTACTCATAAGCGCGTTCTTGTACCACAACACTTAATTACATTTTCATAAAGTTTTAGATCACTGCTTCGTGATATTTCGAAATAATGCTGATATATCTCAATTATATTTGTGTTTTGTCTCCAATATGTTGATGTCCAAAAACGGACAATGAAATGCAGAAGCATCCTGGACACTGTCCTATGGCAAGGGCTTTGGGCCTTATATTACCCAAAGAAAAACGACAAAATAATGAAAAGTCAATCCTCAACGGAATCAGACAAATGGTGTTTTAACAGTTGGATCGAGAAAATGGTGAACACGATAATACCCAAAAACGTGATCTATATCATTAGAATGATTACGAAGCTGTGGTGTTGCAAATTTAAGTTCATTTGTGTCTTGAAGAATGCCATAATTGAACGGTCATGAACTTAGAATGTTGCTGGGACTTTTGTATTGCTTGTAATACAATGATTACTGATTTTCATATACATTTTCATTCAATCTAGAAGCTAGTTAAGCTATCAAACTTGAATGATAAAAGTTATGTTTGTATGCAGTGCATAAACTCTGTACTCAACAATGCATTAAAAGTGCCCCCCCCCCAATAATCAAGACATGTCCTCGGAGAGCTATTGTGAGGTTGACATGTATTTATTACCATACATCCACAGACAAACATGTCATTTAGAATAAAGCCAGAATGTCCTTTCTTCACTTTACTTAGAATAGCAGATAAGTTCTGTCAAGGAACGAACAATAAATTTGCATTTTCTTGTAGAATATTTCTTAGAGGTGATTTTTGTTACAAAAGCGATTCAATGAATATGGTAAATAAGTATCGAGCTGTCGAACTAACATACAGCTAGGTTATTACGTAAATCTGACCGAATCTGCTAAAAATTGGTCACATATTGTTTTAATAATCAACCAAAGCTTATAGCTGTATTGAACATTTAAAGGTCACTTAAAAGAAGTAACGTCAGCATTTTATTTCCTCGCAAAAGAAATTGCCAGATATAAGTATTGAAATTCAATAAAAGATCATCATTCCATTTGACTGTTGATAATGTGACATCAATTGTTAACTTCTCTTTGACCTTTTACGAAAGCGATTGATGATCGTTATGAGTATGGAAGTATCCTTTTTATTTACTAGAGCACACTTAATCCATGATACAAGTCTTTAGTATGACTCTATGACATCTCCACCCCTAGACACCTCGAACCTTAAGACGTCTTGACCCATGAAACTTAGACCCCTAAGTCACTTAGACTTAGACCCCTTTAAATTGATCAGACATTTCAACCCCTTAAGACGTTACTGCAGAAAAACGAATGTGCATGAAGACATTAACTCGGAAAAAATCGATGTTTTTTTGTTTGATTGATATATGTTTAATTTATTAGATATGTTGAATATGGGTCCCTTATTATATAACACAGTTTAGTTTCCAGTTTTGTATACATATTAAAATATTTAACTCTTTAATTTTAGGAATATTAAATGCATAAGTTCGAGAAGATTCTGATGTATTCTAAGCGACAGAATAATAGATTTTACATGCGTTAAATCATGCCTCGAGTTATTTATTGACATTGAATTTATAAAATTTATTGGTTTACGTGTTAGAATT